TTTGAATGGCTGTTAAACGCATTTCTACTATGCAACAAAAGTTTACCTGCACTTTATTTAAATTCTATAGCTGGTTAATTAATATCTTCATACATTTTGGTATGAATGAAAAGGTTATGATTTATTGGTCTACATAATGTTACAAGTTTTGTACTTAGATAATTTTAATAGAATTATTAGTAAAATTGTTGTATTTTTCTGTGTAATGCACAGGGAGACAAATTTTAATGGGTATCTCGGTAATTTGTAATGAAATTCAATAAACGTAATTGACCGTTGTGTTAGCTGTAACCATAATTCCACCCTCGTATTGCTGTCCTGTAACTTTGAAGCAGAAAGAACAAAATATCTCGCGGCCATTTGTAAACTATTTAAGGCTGAAGAGAGAGCATGTGCTCTCAGTAGCTTAGTTATTGTTGTTGGGAGTTGTTTAATTCCTCGTGAATCCGAGTTAGCTTTCTCTTTAGATGTGCTTTGTACACTCTTTAGTTGTGTTGTATTTAACATTTTCAGTAGTTTGAAATATAATATTGTGAACGCTTGTACAAATATCTCTGAGAAAAATTCCAGGGTTGTCATATATTTCTTTCGATAAGAATAAATTTTAACCTATGATTGGAATTGTGCATTCAATCTATTACAAACCCGTACGCATACAACAATATTTTCGAATTCACTATCGAATCAATATTAACTGTTAAAGAAATGCAGCATATTATTGTAGCATGATCTTGAAAATCAAAATTAGGAACCATCTTTATGTTTACTTTTATTTGTGAGTATAGAATTTTTATGTCACTGTTTATGCCGTTTAAGAAATCTTGCTTAGCAAATTTACTTGTATTAGTTTCTTCAGTGTATGCCACCAACTCAAAGTAAAATTTTCAAAACATCTTAAATATCAAAATTAAAACATGATTTGAAAATCGATGACTATAAATTGCTTGTTGAAGTAGTAAATTTGAACTCAAAATCTTTGAATTAAAAATACACCGTCCTTGAAATCTTCTTTGAATATACATTTGTGAATAAATTTTAATCAATTTCCTTGAATAATTAAATTTTGAAATTTATATTTCCTAAAAGAACAATGCTGACATGTTTCTTTTCTTTTAATAAACAGTAATAATTTTATCAGTCATCACTGATAATCATTGCTTGTTTGCTAATGATGAAGAAAAGTTAATTAACTACCGTGAAAAAATACTTACTATTTCTTCCATTCTTATATTCTAAAATTATTATATTTTTTTTTAGTTTATAAAGTTTGGTATTGCTACATGTGTACGGGCTTGTCATGCAAAGAATGCACACAGAATCGATGATAGCTTGATAAAATTAATTTTTCGAAAAGAAACACTTTGCAGTTCTGGAACTTTCCACAACAAATACTTGTACAGCTGCTTCTTAGTATCACACAGTAGTTACCACTTCAAACTACTAAGAATTTAAACACAAGGCAATGCAAAGTGCATCCAAAAAGCGAAGGTTCCATGATCTCTCAATACTCTGAAGTCAGCTCTGAGCTATAAACTGACAGCTGATGCTGTCACCGTATATCGTTTCCCCCTGGCTGCTGAGAAATCTCTGGTACCTTCTATTTCTCAAAATTAGTGGAAGGCATATTACGTTTAAAGTTATATATAAGGGCCGGATACGGTTACAGTACCATATAGCGATCAATTGCAGTATCAGTTAGATTATACACGGAATGTCGTCAAATAGTCGCCAGGTTTGCCGATTTGGGGACAAAAATTAACCAGCAACGGCCAGCAGTCGGCAAAACTATCACAGCTTGGCGATATTTCGCCAATTTAACAAGATAGTCATTAACCTCAGTATTAAATATACTTGCCCCTGTAATCTTATTTTTCGGGCAAAGCTTCGCTCTCTCAAGCATTTCATGTTAAATTATATAGGATATTACAGTTTCACATATAGTTTCATTAAAATTATTTACATATGTACAAAATTTGTAACAATATCAAAATTGTAAAAACAACCTTGTATTTAGCCTAGGTATAATGAAACATTCAATCGATTTCGAGGGCAGCTAAAGGTCCCTCCTCATCAGGAGAAAGAAATCCCTAGAAAGAAGAAAATAAAGGAGAAGGAGTCTCAGAAACACGTGGTCCTTATCAGCACTGCACGTGGTTATAACTGGATTTTTAATCAGAGTTGCACTGGCCGCCTACTTTTACTGAGCCAGGCTATCTGATCAAGCATAAAGGACAAGAAAAATTAGCGAAGTTAAAATAGAGAGCAAGGGGCAAATGCACCTTCACGCTCAAAATCTGAACTTCAAATAATGGAAAGCAAACATTGAACAAATTTTTATACCCTCTGGTAGTAACCAAATGCGAGGAGGTAACGCCATCTATTGGCAAAAATAACTGAATTGGACTTCAAATCATTAACTAAACCTGCTAAATCTTTGTGAATGTGAAAAGCCTTAAGAAAATCCAATTCACCTATGGAAGAAGCCTTTTGGATAATTTTTGCAGAGCCAAAGTCAAATTATGGTTAAATGTCCAACTATGATACGCTATTGAAGACTTGTTAATTTCACCTTTTCTGACATAAGATTCATGTTCCTTGATACGAAACTTCAACGCTCTTTTTGTTTGGCCAATATATCTTAAACCACACTGAGACAATATACTATAAATTCCCCAAGAATTCAAGACAGAAACGCAATCTTTTAGAATCGAAGGGTGAATTTTATTAATAGGGGAGAAACAGACTTGAAAATTGAATTTCTGGAGAATCCGTGCAATTTTATAGCATGAAGGATATCAAGGAAGGGGAGGGAATTGTTGAACCCTTCCTTGATATTCTTATAATCCACAATGAAACTGATTTTAGCACCACTGTGTACCGTAAACCCTTTGCAGTTTGTTTACCACCCCATGCCAAGTCATGCCACCCTGTTAAGCAAAAAATGGCTTCTTTTTACTATTATGTATTCCACGTGCTTTGAATCTTTGCTTACCAATGAACTTAATTATTTGAGAGCAGTTGTGATTGACCGTGGATTTTCTCCCGTGATTATTGATAGTCGTTAAAAAATTTTCAGATTCCCATCAAAGAAGACATTCCACTGTTAGAAATAATATTAATGACCTTGTCGTGCTTCCATTTTATCCTTCTGTTTGCTATAAAATTGCACGGATTCTCCAGAAATTCAATTTTCAAGTCGGTTTCTCCCCTATTAAAAAAATTCACCCTTCGATTCTAAAAGATTGCGTTTCTGTCTTGAGTTCTTGGGGAATTTATAGTATATTGTGTCAGTGTGGTTTAAGATATATTGGCCAAACAAAAAGAGCGTTGAAGTTTCGTATCAAGGAACATGAATCTTATGTCAAAAAAGGGGAAATTAACAAGTCTTCAATAGCGTATCATAGCTGGACTTTTAACCATAATTTTGATTTTGGGTCTGCAAAAATCATCCAAAAGGCTTCTTCCATAGGTGAATTGGATTTTCTTGAGGCTTTTCACATTCACAAAGATTTAGAAAGTTTAGTTAATGATTTGAAGTCCAATCCAGTCCTTCCTAATGCCTTTAAAATTCTACTGTCTTAATTCAATTATTTTTGCCGATAGATGGAGTTACCTCCTTGCACTTGGTACTACCAGAGGGTATAAAAATCTGTTCAGTGGTTGCTTTCCATTATTTGAAGTTCAGATTTTGAGCGTGAAGGTGCATTTGCCTCTCGCTCTCTATTTTAACTTCGCTAATTTTTCTTGTCTTTTATGCTTGATCAGATAGCCTGGCTCAGTAAAAGTAGGCGGCCAGTGCAACTCTGATTAAAAATCCAGTTATAACCACGTGCAGTGCTGATAAGGACCACGTGTTTCTGAGACTCCTTCTCCTTTATTTTCTTCTTTCTAGGGATTTCTTTCTCCTGATGAGGAGGGACCTTTAGCTGCCCTCGAAATCGATTGTTTCAATACTTACGCTAAAAACAAGGTTGTTTTTACGATTTTGATTGTCACATTAGCATGTTTCTCTTCTAGTCTTGTAACAATGTGTTTTGCAATCGTCTAATACTGTCCAAATTCTTGGTAGATGTTAAGCAAAGTATCAGTAATAACAACTGAAACTTCAAAAGAGTGTAAAAGACCCTTTTATTAAAAACTAAGAAGAACAGAAGACACACCTGTTGCTTACAAATCAGCCAACCACTTGTGGTGATGTAACAGACAGTCAAATGTAAAATCTAAACTAAATAAGCTAGTAGCCAAAGGCTAAAATCAATTTAATCGAAGTTGGCTCACTTATCTAACTGGCGTGGAGTTTCAATATTGACAAATTTTAATGCAATGTCGAAGACAAAAAATCTTATCTGATCTAGCAACATAGTAACAGGGCCTCGAGAGGCCGAACACACTCTGTTTTACAACATGAAAACGAACTAATTCACATTCTGGCAGAAAAACGGAAGGGAGAAGTGACAATAAACATCCAAAACATAAAGTAACTTGTTATTTAATATAAGGAAAATTTTCAAGTTACCAATAAAATGAGTCTTACATGTGTATATATTATTCATTAAAATCTTTTAATTGTAATCAGTTTGGTTTGGTTTGGTTTATTGATTACGGCAAAACACACGAGAGTTATCTACCTAAGGAGGACGGATGCGTTCATGGAGTGCTTTCTAAGCGAAACTGGCTCCTATACATGTTACACATGGTGTAAAACCAAAAGAACACACATGCAGCCAGCCCATTTGCAGAATTTGAACCTCGGACCGAACTACAAGTGTTCAGCGACTTCACCGCTCGGCCGCTGGTGGGCTTAGTTGTAATTGGAGTAATTTTTGAAGCTCATTTCCGAAGTATTATTTTTATTATTATTTATTACTATTTTTCAATGTATCTGAATGTATACGTAATAAAAAAAGAGAAAGAAAATAAGTGCAAATTCATTCATAAAATAAATTTAGTGCTTCTTTCTTTAATCACATGCATAAAAATATTCAAATTTTTTAACTTACTAACTTCATGACCATGACAATAATAGCTGTGCAGTCGAGAACGATGTCTACAAGTAGCATGACGATGGTTGGTACTATAAACATTTCATTGCCCTAGAGTTAGAAAAACATATTAAGTATAAATTTGTAAATTTATATGAGCAAAATAAGACTTACCTAAATCTTGCCGAATGGTTGCGAGGTTTGGCAATATATCGCCAAATTTGCCATGTATTTGCCATGTACTTTCCAGCCATTTATACAGTTTCACATATAGTTTCATTAAAATTTTTTACATACATATAAAATTTGTAACAATTTGTAACATGAAAAGTCTATGTTGTTCAGACTTTTCATGTTACATTATACAAAAGATGCTGCAATTTAACTAAAATTATTGACATATATACAAAATTCATAACAATATATATTGTCACTTATATACTATATATACAGTATCGTTCTTAACTCATCAACTAACTCTAACAAAATAACTAATTTGATCCTTATTTGAAAAAAGATTAAAAAGTCTCACTTAATAGTGTTATTGTTAATTGGTAGTAGATTAGTTTGTTCCTCTTGACAAGTCAATTAATCTGCGATCAATAACAATAGCTAATTATTAAGTCAAACAACAAAAATCAGCATTATATTTTTAAAATGTTCGCAGGACTATTTTTGATGGTTTTACCGAACCACCATCCTCAGCTGCAAAACCACAAATGAATGCGGTTTTGCATTTCATTCATTTGCGGTTTTGCAGCTGAGGATGGTGGTTCGGTAAAACCATCGAAACTAGTCCTGTGAAAATTTTGAAAATATAACGCTGATTTTTGTTGTTTGACTTTTGAATTAGTATTTATTCGGCGTGTTATTGTGTCTTAACAATAGCTACTTTTTCAGTACTTTCGATTTTGAGTTTAATATTTGAAATTTTTACGGTCAGAGCATTTTTCTTTACAGATTTTAAATAATTTTTGCTACAATAGATCTAGATAACTTTGGACATTGACTTGGAAAGCTACTTATAAATATTTACTAAAGTTTTTCTAATAATTCATAGCTTTAAAGAAATTTCTTTTCCTTGAAGATGCTATATAGATACTTTTTCTTATAATAAATTATTGATTTATTACTTAGCAGCTTTGGCGCAGCTTTTAGGCATCTTAAATTACTCATAATTATATATGTATATGTATATGTAAGATGTAACAAAATACGATGGCTGCGCTAAAAACCGATTGGGAACCTCATAATTAACTGTTCTAAATTGGTGTTCTCCCCCCCCCAAAAGTTCATCTGTTCTCCCAAATTCAAGATCTTTCCATATTATATAACAACCTAAAATTAACCAATAGCAGTTTAGCTGTACTTATGCACCTTCTTAGTATAAATAATCTTCGCAAACAACTGTGTCATTCCTTTTCTTAACTTCTGCCCTGCCAACATCTCCACACTGCATATGCTTCCCTGTCTAAGATGCTTATGTCGTGCTTTTAAAACTAGTGTACATGAAAATTACCATATTTAACTATGATTGAATTAATGTCTGGTCTACAAAAATGATCTGATGTAAATTGTCATAGAATAAAAGTATGTTTCAAAACATAAAAAGAGTTACTTCATATCAATAGAATTCTATATTTTTTTCAAAGGCGATGATATATTAAATAATCTATTAGAAAATATATACAGTACCAAGTTCGTAATCCGGACTCGTCGGGACTTCGGTGATTCCGGATTAGGGGTATTTCCGGATTATAGATCATCAATTTAAATCTGGTAAGATCGCATGCAGAAATTGTACAATTAAAAATATGAAACCGTAATTTATGAAATAAAGAGAAATTATGATTTAAAGGTTTCAAAATTTACAAAAAAAAAAGGTTAATATTTATTTGTTTACTTTATTAAACATTTCTTTCAATGTAAGGTGTTTAAGTTGCTTCGCTTTTTTATGCTAATACTTTCTCTTTAATTCTATAAACAGACATAATTTTTTATTCAGTTACAAAGTTCCACTGTTCAAATCCTGTAATTGCTGTGTGGAGAATATCGACTAACTTGTCAATCGAAATTTTTTCGTTTTCAATAACCTTTCTGTCACTTTCTTCACTATCGGAAGCGACGCATGCGTATTAGAAGCGATGCGTTTAATGCGCAGTACGCGTATACGTAAAGCATACAAAAAATGTTTGTGGCTTTGAGGTCCGGATAATGGACATCCGGATTACGGTAATTATTTTATTACTTTCAGTTTTAGCGCAAGTATTAGGAAATTTATTACGACTGATTAATTTATTTACTTATGTATATGCATACATGTATATGCATACATAAGTATATATAAATATCATCTCCCAGAAATCACTCATAGCTTTAACAGTATAAACTTGTCATCTGCTTACGGATAGAATTTCTACGCAATTAATCATTTTGTTTTTATCCAGTGAACATCTGTTTTCATGGATTCGAAAACTGAGTGGAGAATAACAAAGAGCTATTGTGGATATAATCTTCACCCTGTATTTAATTCTATAGCTTTATTTCAGTTGACAAAGTAAAATGTAAAGGATATGTATCTCACTTCTAGATCAACCTTAGAGATTATGACTGGTAAATTCAGCGAGTTCCCTGTGTAAAAGGACGTAATTCTGCTGCATTTTATTGTACCAAATCTTTGATATTATCTAATTAATTGTTTTTGTATCTTTTCCATATGTATTTAAATAAATATTTATTCTAATAAAAACTCTCTTTTTTACTCTAAAACTCCCTTAACACGAGCAACGGAAATATTTGAAATCTGTGTAAAGTGAATGGAAATCCGAGGTTAACAGTAGCCAATGTTTTTCCATAGGTATGGAAGATTTCGTGATGGAACGAAAATATTGATGATGGCCTAAGAGAGGCTTACCCATCGCAACCTCAGAAGGATGACAGCATCAAAAAAGTTCGATACTTGTGGCTGAAAAATCGTAACCTCTCTCTTCGAATAATAGTTTATGAACTTAACATCAGTAAAGACACTGCTCACAAAATTGTCGTTGGAAGTTTTGGAAAAAGAAAATTTTGTGCGCGTTTTTCCTTTACCCATCGACAGTAGAACACAAAGAAGATATTTCTTCTTGCCATGATTTGCTGGCATGCAAAAATGGCGGATATTAATCCCGATTTTTTTCAAGCAAACTGTACCTGGAGATAAAATTTAAAACTTTGCTTATAATTGTAAGGCCAAACTGCAATTATTTGCTTGGATGGAAAGGGTTCACAACAGAACATAGAACAGGCACAGAAAGTTCCAAGAATTATCATACTGTTTTTTTGGGGGGAGATTGAAAAGGGAGCAGCTTTTTCGTGAGCACATACAAGCAGGGCTTAATTTCTAAAATTAGAAGTGCCGTAGCCCTATGGAAGACTGTCAGAAAAGAGAAAAGAATAAATAAATAAATAAAATGCTTAATCGAATCACTGCTAATTAAAAAATTATTAAAATAATTAAAATTTAACAGTATGGTAAAGATATAAATTAACATTTAACAAGTGATTAATTTTATTTCTAAAAATAAAATGTTCGAGATCAAAATTCTACAGAAAGTTTGTTAAGTTACATATAAGAAGTGCCGGAGCCTTCGTAATAGTTATTGGAATTATGATTTATCCCGAAAACTAAGAAGTACCGGAGCCAGGCTCCGGCGCAATTTAAGCTCTGCATACAAGCAGCTTTTTCCTGAGGGACAGACCTAGAATTCGACATTTTATAAGAAAACATTGAACAGACTTTTGAAGAGAATTTATTTAGCCCCGAAAAAGTTCAATCGAATAACTACTTTCCGCTCCCCATCACACAATTTCATTCTCTTCAAAGCAGTTTCTAACAAAGGATATTATTGGCATCCTAAACATCCCCTGTATTCATCAGGTTTGATACCCGCAGATTACTTTCTGTTCCCTAATGTGAAGTGTAATCTCAGCCATTATTTAAATAACTTTGAAGAAACTCGGGAAAGCGTCACCAGAGGCTTAATTATTGCTTCAATAAATGGGTTCTACGAAGAAATTAAAAGCTGTGTGTTCATGACAAATATTGAATAGACGTCCAGAGATTGTGTATTGAAGAATAAGGAGCAAAGATGCTCTTTTCTCCAGTTTTCGATATACAATTCTTGAATTTAAGAGAGAGCTTTCGGCACCCACTGCTGATCCTTTCCATACGATTTACTCTCTTATGAATTTACTTGAATCACCTTTAGCTTGTGCTAGCTGTGTTTGCTCGCGTGGGTCAAGGGGCTTGAACCAAAACCTATAGCCAATTTGTCTTGCGAATTTCATATTTTAAATACTTGAAGTGTATTTTTTGTCTTCTAGTAATCCTACGTGCAGCGGAACCTACCTGTTATTACACAAGCTGTGTAAATTATTTGCCTGACTATCTTCGAGGAACTAGGACTTAATCATGGAGGTTAGAATATATGGAGTAAGCCTTCTTCGTGTGTCCTGTTGAATGCAGATGAAGCCATGAAACGTTACGACATGACGTCACCGCTTATTATGGCCACTGCCATAAGCGCATAAGTTTTATATATATATATATATCCTAATCGTTGTTGTCTATGGGTTAGCTATTCATCATTGAGCGTTTAGAAGTCTCCCATTCTAATTTTAATACTTAACATAAAAGATCTTCTACTTGGCATACTTAGCATACAGAAAAGCCACGAGGACTTCAAACAATTCTTTCAAATTTAATAAAATGTAGGTACATGAAAATGTGTAAATGATAATTATATAACACAAATGTATACATGGTAAAACCTGGAAGTTTCAATGGTATTTAATGTAAATTATGCCTAAAAACACTTTTCTGAGCCTGCGGATGTTGATATTTGCTTTTGAATTCAATGTAATTTATTTAAGAATATGTTTCGTAGTCTTACCCTTGTATGCAGAGGAGTAGCTAAGGTTTTCAGCCCCCGGGGACACCTAAAGATTTTGGATGCTGCGTCCGGGGACGGATGTCCCCCCATGCCCCACCCTAGCTACGCCACTGGATGTACAACAGCCATGATAAGTCTTGACATCAGGTTGCTGACATTTCCTTGGCTTCAATTTTGTCATGCTTAATCCATCCATTCTACCCTCCATGAACTAAACAATAAAAAAACTATTTTTCATTGTTTCGTAACAAAGTGTCAAAATTATGAAACGTAATAAATTTGATACTATCTATTGCTTTACGTAATCGTTGCTGTTCTTGATTACTCGGGAATATAAGATACTGTCGCTTCAAAAGTGACTATAAGTAGGCCTGTGAATATTTGAGCTATTCAAGGAAAACATCATCAGTTTTATCATTAATATCATACTGCAGAACACGAAGAAATATTTGCCTCTTCGACAACAGAAAAGGAAATCCATTACTTACTTCTTTTACTGCTGGTACCACAGCGAACGAAGCAATAGTATGGAAAGCAAAGTATATGGCACTGAAGACGAAAAATAAGGGATTAACTGAAAAAAAAAACATAATTTATTATATATGTATGCTTAATGTGGCACGCCTTCATAACGGTGCCTCGTCACAGAAAGTAACTGGCACCGTTAGTAGACGAGACATAGCAATTCAGGTGTTCAAAATTCACACTTCATCTACTCTTCCTTACTAAGGCTGTTCGCACATTTTTTAGATGATTTTTCTTAAAATCACCTGCTGCAGGTGGTTTTTTTTTTTCTTTTTTTTCTTTTTTTCTTTCTCTTCTCCCCTAAGTATAAATTATCATCTGCTGCTTGATAGTTTTATTTTAATGCAAAATGGCGCTTTTTATAGAAGCAATTGGCGGAAGGCTATGTTTGTGTTCTTTCTGAAGAAAATTATTCTCATCTAGGTATTGAAAAACGTTGTGAAAGCCATTATTTTCTGGTATCTAAAGCAACGATAGATAATATTGTCAATAAGAAAGGAAACAAACGTCAAAGTTTGGCTTTAAGGAGAAAAATTATTCAAAATACATATCCAAGGTAAAAACGGAAATGTTGCAAAGGTAAGAACTTTAATATTGAAAGAAAATCCGCAAATCAAAGGACAGTTGCATAATCAATTAAAATGCTATGTCAACTGTAAACAAAAGGATTAATGCTGATTTGAATCTTAAAAAGGCGAAAAAACGCAATGTGTATCGTCTTTCTCCACGACATATTGCCAAAAGCAGCACGCGCTGCAGAATTCTCTATGAGAAACAATTATTCGAACTAAAATGAAAAAATGTTGTCACAGTAGATGAATCTTGGTTATATTTAAATGACCACAATAAAAGGAAGATACATTTATTATCATCAATTGGGGGGGGAATCTTAGAAAATGTTTAAAGAAAAGGTTTTTCCGTTTTTCAAGGAATTTATGACTTGCTAGTTCCTGACATAACGGCACATAAAAATGACAGCGTAGAAAACTGTTAAGGTCAACTCCACATATAATCAGGAGCATATTTTATATCCATCTCTCAAATATGAAATACCTTCTCTTTATCCACAGTGCCATCAATCAGTAGAACTGCATCAAAACAAAACAAGCAACCGCACGTCAAAATCTACTCTTAATTTCCTGAAAAAAAATGGAACAAAAAACAAGTGTCGAGGCCATACCCTCGCATATCCGTCCTATATATGATCCACCGACGTTTGCGCTTTTAGACTTTTAAAAAGCGATATGTCCAAACGTCGACTTAAATCCTCCTTTGATTCGGGAAAACTGTTCAAGAAGACTGGAATAAAATAACCCTTTCGATACTAAAAATGGCTTTATTGTCTTAAAAAGATAGCAAGGATTAAGGTTTATCAAATGGGACATTTAAAACACAAAAACTTTAGGCAAAATATTTCTGTAAATACAATGGAAATTGTCTAAAAAATGTGCGAACAGTCCCTATAAATGAATGGTTTTTATTTATTTTTTTAAAAAGGTTACATTCTATAGATACACGCGTCTTTTCTCCAAAATGTTATCAATGTGAAACTCTTCCTAAAAGGTCGATATATATCAAGGAGGTTAGAATAGAAGGAGGAAGGGTTCGCAGTTTCCTCCACTATCGGGGAATGAAACTCCGCCGAACAAGCGGCGTCCATGTTTGTGACTTCAAAACATTGCATTACGGCAGTGACATGTACGTGTTTCTAAGCTGTTCCGTGCATTTATTTTCCAGTAAAGATATGTTAAATTTATAATGAAATCCCTCGCTATTGTTGAATTTTTGTTTTAAAGTAATAAAGATGATATCCATAATTTACTATGTACAGCAAATTATTAAGAAATAGTTCGAAATCTAAATGCATGCGCATAACATTAAAGCCTTTAAAAAATGATGTTTCTGCATATTTCACGAATTTGCTTAGGTTAGAAAATAAATCTTAATAAAATAAAACAGATTTATGTGAATTCATTGATTTCAGTTTATGCGCATTTCATATTTATTAATCTCAAAGAAACTGCCTTTAATTAAGATGAATTACAGAAATACACCTATATAAGTTTTTGGATACATCTTTCCACATGTTCAATTGTGTAAAAATTTTACTTAATTTTATCACTACACTGCGCAGAAATTTGTAAGTTTATACAAAAAATTTTTAACAACAGAACAGTTTATCTTAACTTAAAAAAATGAATAATAATTAATATATAAAGAAAAGCATTGCTTTATTTAACACCTTTACAATTAATAAAAATAGTAACAACTGATTTCTTACTTTTCATGAAAGTTATAAAACGAATTTACTAAAACGTTCAAATTATACAATTTAAATCCTACCATATAGCATTGTGTCTTAAGGAACGAAGATACCAGCTATAAACAGAAACATTAAAATGTATTTAATATATTTTGATTATAGTTATATTAAATAACCTATTTTAAGTCCTTTTTTTTCACATCTGGAAAGAAAACTACATAACATTGTGATATTTTTGACATAGTTGTCATATTACATAAAAAAAGAAAATTAATACTTACGTGTGAAAAATAATGCCCGGAATATTTTTCGAGAATCTATTTGTGCATTAATATGCAATACAAGCTGACATGCTTCAAAAAGAAAAGAAAAAAATGTTGCAATGACAGACTTCCTTGCACAAGTCATGGTGATAACAGGAAGATGGCCGCCAAGCTTCACCGTTTGAGTTGAACCTTCCCTCCTTCTATTCTAACCTCCTTGATATATATAGGGTGCCCGGGTAGCACCTGTTTAACTGCCGAACGGCTGCAGCTATATTCATAAAATTGCTGTCGAGGTATAGCAAAGTGGCTATGCACTGCTTGATGAGCTAGCTTACAGCGTCACCTGGTGAAAATCGGCAAAGTTAGCCTTCCTATCTCGAAAACGATACGAGATATGAAGAAAGGTGAATTACAAATTTGTAGAGCATCGTCGATTTAGCACAAATAGACACCTTGTGAATATGAGTGCTAACACAGAACGCTGAAAACACACATTTGTTTCTCCGCTGTTTCCGAAACTGTGACGTCACGAAACTTGATCGAAAGGAGAAAAGATTATCTTTCGGATGAAAAACATGGCCATATCGCGGCACAGTGACGTCGCCTTGTAATTCACAGTTGAGAGGGCTGTGGTTCAAACCTCGCAGGGTTCGTGGTTGTATGTTGAAGCTCATACTCATGGAGCGGTTTTCAAAAAATGATTATTGTGAGATGGTTCTACTTACGGTGAATGTGAACGCACGATCGGCAGATTGGTTGCATCGGCAACGTTTTCCTGCAGGCCCGCATCCTCCATACAAAACCATCCTACAGGTTGTGAAACGTTTAATGGAGACAGGATGCGTGACTAGCCGACTTCGACCCGGCAGATCAGCTAAGATAGGACGGAAAGTGCAACCGGAAGATGTCTATCATACGGCCTCACGTATCGAAACAGCAGCACAAGAGAGCTAAGTGAAAACTGTGGACTCTCAAAAAGTCATTTTGGAAAATCCTAAATGAATTAAGTGCTCATCCATACTGAAAAACATCTAACCAGGCATTGCTGGACGGAGACCGAGAATCGTTTCGCAAAGTGCAACAGGTAAGAGATTCAGCCAACATTATTGGGCACTGGAAAATCCATCATGTTCTGCCGACGTTTGACATCAAATACGGCTTTCGATAAATGTTTGGTGTGGAATTTATAATAACAAGCTAATCGGCTCAATATTTTACTAGAGTATGTTAACGCCGCGCACAATATTTAGAACTTCTGCAAGATATAATACCAGATTTTGTCGAGAACCTACAGTTGCTTCAATTCCTGAGTGGATGGTTTCAACATGACGTTGCAAGTGAAGCAGTATCTGATGAAGGAATTCGGAGAACAAATAATCAGGTACGGTGGTTTCGAAGAGTGGCCTCCACATTCACCTGACATGACTCTAATGGACTTTTTCCTGTGCGGTTACTTCAAACAGCAGATGTATGCGACCCCTACACAAACATTGCAGGACCTTCAACGAAGTATTACAGATGCTTGCGCAAACTTGTCACCCGCTATGGTAAAACGTGCAACATGAACTTCTAACAAGGGTCCAGATGTGTATTTCAGCTGCTGGAGAGAAGTTTTAAACATTGAAAATAAAGTTGTGATAACTAGATTGTTTTTAAGATCGTTTCGTGACGTCATAGTTTCTGATATCGCGAACAAACAAATGCTTGTTTAAGACGTTCTGTTAACATTCATGTCCACGAGGTGTCTTTTCGCACTAAATCGCCGATGCTCTACAACTTTGTAATTCACTTTTTCTTCTTATCTCGTATCTTTTAAGAAACAGGGACGCTAACTCAGCTGTTTTCCACCAGGTGGCGCATTTTTAAGATCGTTTCGTGACATCATAGTTTCTGAAATCGCGAACAAACAAATGCTTGTTTAAGACGTTCTGTTAACATTCATGTCCACGAGGTGTCTTTTCGCACTAAATCGCCGATGCTCTACAACTTTGTAATTCACTTTTTCTTCTTATCTCGTATCTTTTAAGAAACAGGGACGCTAACTCAGCTGTTTTCCACCAGGTGGCGCATTTTTAAGATCGTTTCGTGACATCATAGTTTCTGAAATCGCGAACAAACAAATGCTTGTTTAAGACGTTCTGTTAACATTCATGTCCACGAGGTGTCTTTTCGCACTAAATCGCCGATGCTCTACAACTTTGTAATTCACTTTTTCTTCTTATCTCGTATCTTTTAAGAAACAGGGACGCTAACTCAGCTGTTTTCCACCAGGTGGCGCATTTTTAAGATCGTTTCGTGACATCATAGTTTCTGAAATCGCGAACAAACAAATGCTTGTTTAAGACGTTCTGTTAACATTCATGTCCACGAGGTGTCTTTTCGCACTAAATCGCCGATGCTCTACAACTTTGTAATTCACTTTTTCTTCTTATCTCGTATCTTTTAAGAAACAGGGACGCTAACTCCGCTGTTTTCCACCAGGTGGCGCTGAAAGCTATCTCATCTAGTAGCAAATAGCCA